ATTTATATATAAGGCAATTAAAATATTACAGTTTGTAAAATTATTTGATATATTAAAATCATATATTATGGTAATTGAAAAATATTATGGTATTATTTTATTGTAATATCAATAACTTACAACATTATTTTAACCTTAAATGTGTTACTATTATTGCCAATTTTCAAAATTACAGTTTTTAACTAATATTTTTATTTTATTTTATACACTCTCACTCTATTAAGTCACTATGTTTGTGAACCCATTTCCAATAGGCCAATAAAAATGTACTTCAAAAAAAGGCCAGGTGGCATATTTTAGAACAGTATGATATAGAGAGTTTATCATAGAATTTATTAATAAACTATTTTATATATCCTATTAACTACAATGTTAGTTTAAGAAATTATCATTTAAATCAATAATTATATGGCAACCGATAATAATGCAACACATTTTTGTTATTTGTATAACATTTCTAGTATTTTGTTAAAAACAGTATTTATACAAAAATGAATGCAAACAAAATGTTGAAAAAATTCCTGAAAAAGGCCAAAAATCATCCCAAAACTAAACCCAATAAATACGTTAATATAAGCGAGATCAAATTATTTTACGTGTTTAACGACTATAAGGGACATAACATACTGTTTGCCACCAATGATGACATTGTGTACGGTTTGGGATCCAATTATTACGGTTCGCTCGGATTGGGTCACAATAAGTACGTTAAGTCACCGGAAGTGGTGCCGGAGTTGTGTCACCAGAATATTCTGCAGTTCATAACCGGCGAGAACTATGTCGTGGCCCTCGATAACCGGAACTGGATTTATGGGTGGGGTCGCAACGACATGTCTCAACTGGCAAAATTGTACCAAGGCTACCTAAAACCATATAACATATCCTTTTTCAACAACAAGAATATACGGCAAATAAGTTGCGGTTTTCATCACGTGTTGGTCCTGACAGGGGACGGGTGTGTGTATGGCTGGGGCGCTAACACTCATGGACAGGTAGGTTGCGGATCGAGTAGTTGTAAAATAGTTGAGCCCCAGCTAATTAACTTTGGTTCGCAATATACGATCATGGACATTTATTGCTGTGTACATTGCTCGTTTGCTACCACCTCAACGGGTATGGTGTTTATGTGGGGCCAAAATCTATGTATGATATATGGATTTATTGGTACCGAACCTAATCAACCACAGTTATTGACCCAGGTACCTGGTGTCACTACAATATGTACCTGGCATACTAGCATGTACTTTCTAGCCCTCGATGGCTGCCTATATATCTCCGGTGTATTTATGGACCAAAATAATGAAATGCAAATATACGACAGTCCACAGGAATGTGATCATGGTGATATTTGCATGGATATTTGGTCAGCTTATTACATCGATCAAGATAGGACTCACGTAATTTGCACCCTGTTAAATAATAAGATATATGAACTGGGTAAAAATTCAAGATTTATTGAGACCAACTATACAAATATGTTTGACTTTTATACTCATGAATACCAAATAACGTTAAATACAATTCATTTGTGTCATCACAAGGAGTATAGCTATAAATCAATGAGCAAGTTCAAATTAAGGTGCGAAGAGTTTTTAAATCAATGCTATTTAAATGTCATGAACTCGTATAATGGTCAGTACCTAGTATAATTTTTGTTTTACGATAATTCTAACAATAATTTATTATTTACCTAGGTGATTGCACTGAAAGTGACAAACATCTAATCAATGAAATTAAATTATTTCACATTTTTGACGACAATAAAGGGTTTAACATATTATTTGTCACAAACGATGGTCTAGTTTACGGATTGGGTGCTAATACTACCGGTGCCCTGGGTTTAGGACATAATTACCCTATGAATAGCCCGCAAATTATACCGGAATTGTGTCACCAGAATATTCTGTACTTTCACACGTTTGGTGTGTTTGCGTTTGCCGTTAATTCAAAACATGAAATATATTACCTTGGCACTAATGGATTTATTGATGATGAATACTGCAAACCGTTCAAAATAAACATATTTAACACCATGGACATTTGTCAAATATGCTGCGGTGGTCACTACCTACTAGTGCTTACCCCGAATGGCGATGTGTATGGGTGGGGTGATAATGAGCATGGACAGTTAGGTTGTGATAGCGATGCTGTTTTTATTGAAAAAGTTACTAAATTAAATTTTGAGCCTGGTACAAAAATTAAACACATCTATACTCATAATGAGTCTACATTTGCGATTACAAGGGAGGGACAGGTGTATAGTTGGGGTCGAAATGATTGGTATAATTTGGGACATAATTTCTCGGAAACTATATCTAAACCACAAGTGATAGCAAACTTAAGTGATATTAAAGTGGTTTATATGATGGGACTTAAGACACTGTTTTTATCTAACCAGGGTTTGCTGTATATTTGTGGTCAATATTCAGATGATAAAGGCATTGATATTATACAAGAACTACCTAAACCTTTGGAAATGGATTATAAATGTGTGGATTTAGCTCATGTTTATTCGCACCAAGAATTGTACGCGTTTTCGACCTTGCTAATGAATAATAGGGTTTACGTGGTAACTGACTATTTGCAAATTATTGCCACGGATTATAGAAATTATTTTGAGTTTTATTCAAATGAATTGTTTATTACACATAAAACCATTGATTTCGCGGAATATCAAGAATATCATTACGAAACTAAAGCCGAGTTTATGTCAAAGTGTTGTGACTTTATTGAGGAAATGTTTGGCAAAATTAGACATTCATATAAAGGTATGATCTTACTTGGTGATAATAATTGTTTATATAGATATACAGTATATTTATAACATCTATGATAACACTATAATTTACGCAAAATTTAATATAAAAACAATAAAAGTAAAAATCAATTATTTATTAAAATAGATAAAAATAATTTCCCAAATTAATTTTTAACCTTTTTCCATATATTTTGAATTTTATTATTTTTTTTGAATTTTATTTTTATTGAATAATTGCTATTCATTTAAAACCTTTTAAAACCTAAAACATTACTAATAATTTGATTTGTTATTGATATTATATTGCCATTCAATGAATTGAATGAATTTCAAATTTAAGTGAATAGACATGTATTTGGGAAACACATACTTTTCATAGTTTATTATAAGTTTATATATCGCACGAGAATTATTCATATATTTATTTACAGTTTTGTATTTACCGTAAAATGTTTTTATAGCATAAAATCAGTGATTATTTAATACTTTTTAATTAATGACAGAAATTAAGGAAAATATTTAAGTTATAAAATAAATAATCTAGCAAAATATTTATCATATAAAAATTAATTCATATTGTAGGTATCAATGAATTTGACGGCACACACAACTCACACGATGAGCCAGATCATTATAATAGACGATACGCTGAGCTAGGTCCAACATCGCCTATACCCAGCCCAATAGGTTCCGGATCATTTGGCACTGTATTCAAAGTTTACGACCGTTTAGATGACAAACAATACGTTATCAAAAAGATCAAGCATGATTGTAAATTAAAAACTTTAATTCTAACTAAAAATATTTATCCTAGGTGAATTAAATGTTGCAAATTTCCACACAGATATCAAAAATCATGAGAACTTTCAGAAAGAAATGCAAACTTTAATCAAAGTTCGCTCGGAATATGTGGTCCAATACATGGACGCGTGGGTCGAAAAGGACATGGCTTACATCAAAATGGAGTTGTGTTCACACAGTTTGAAACAATTTATAATGAAAAAGCAAAACACTTTTAAGCGACAGTCAGCGGAAGCCATGAGTTTAACCGAGTTTTTCATTTCGTGCGAAATATTCCGCGAAATCTTAGAAAGTGTTGAATATTTACATGAAATGAATCCACAGATCATTCACAGAGACTTAAAACCCGACAATATATTACTCACACATACCGTAACCAACGGCCGGTTCTTCAAGTTATGCGACTTTGGGTTAGCCGTACTCCACGAGGGGACAGGCAGTCAGCATACGGGAGGTGTGGGTACTCTGAGATATATGGCACCGGAGGTTAAACTTAATGCTAAATACACGACAAAAGCCGATGTCTATAGTCTGGCAGTCATTGCATACGAATTGTTTGATTTGAATGCTTACGAGTAATTAGTTTTTGAAATACTTTTTAGTTTATTACTTAAAATATGTATTTATTTTTAAGGGAAAATGACCTGGAAATATATTCATCAAGCTCATTTTACGATCAACGCCTATTTCTGGAGTGTATGTTGGAGTCAATGATGCAAACAATGTCCATCCGTAGGCCAGGCTGTCCACAGTTATTGCATTTTTATGAATCGTATGGCATATCGTTGGAAAGCCTATCAAATGATCAATTGTTTTATACGCTATTAGAAAGTTATTCAAAAAATCTCGATAATATACGCGATAATAATGTTTATATATTTTATTTTGAAAAAATTAGACCTATTTTTAATGTTTTTCAAGTGTAATTTTTAGTCAAGTAATCCAGTAAAAATTGTTTTAGCTAGGTATTAAATTGTTACAGTATTCTAATATTACATAGCTAGGCTAATGTTTTTTTTAATTTGAAAATTAGAAAATAAATGATTGTGCAAAATAAATTACTGTATAAATATAAAAATTAAAAATGTTTATTAATAATTTCCATTTCATTTAAATCTAACTACTCGTACATTACAGTTATATAACTTATAAATCAATAGTTTTAGCCACAAATGCATAAAATACTGTACAGACAACTGACACATACATTGATCACAATTAATGATAATTAACTAAAATCTTCATAAAACTTATGAAATAAATATTTATAATTGAATACAATCTCTATTAGTGGTAAACATAGTGTTAATATAA